GGGGGGATCCCCGCTCTGGAGCCCCGCGCTCCTCACCCTTTAGATCCCTCTATTTTTTTAACTCCCTCCCTCTCCCCCAAAAATTGAATATTGCCTTTTATACACGTTTTGTTCCTATGATCCAATTATGTCGTCGTAAATTTGGGCGCACACAGCCTCTAAGCCTTTTAGTGGACAGTATAACGAGCCATTGATGCCTGGATCGTAAAATTTATGGCCGCAGGTTTTTTTTCTTTATTTGCCCCGCATGGCCTATAAAACCCAGGCGGACCCGAGCGCGCAAAATGAAGTCCTAAAGTTTACCGTGGCTCATGTGCAGTTTGGTCATCCACGGGTAAATCTGTGGCGGGGCCGGTGGCTGGCTCAGTCCGGCGGGCTGCCCTGTCTGCGCCTGCTCCTCTTTGATCTTCCCACTGCTCTTAGCACGCTCCTCCAGCGCCGGGCGAGCTGCCTTCTGACTGTACATCCCGGGGTTCAGAGGAGCCGCTTCATCTCTGCCCAGAGCGTGTCCCGGAGCGGCTGCGGCGCTGCAGGCGGGGCGGTCGGGGTGAGCCCGGGGGTTGGCCGCCATGTCTACCCCGTGGAGAGAGTTGGAAGGCGCAGGCGGTGGGAAAGTGATGCTTAAGTCCAATCCGCCGTAGCAGTACCTGGATGCCTGCACCTCTGAGGCCGATCCATAGTTCCCACAAGTTTGCATGTTATAGGCAGGGATATTGGGGCTCTGCTTATAGAATGAATTGGCTACGTAGGAGCTCATGGCGGGGAGGGCCCAAAAAAATTTCTGCACCCTTTTTGATTAAGGGTGATTTGTGACTCTTTGAAGTTGAGGGGGTTTTTTGTTCTCCAAAGTGCACAATTTATAGGTGGAGATATCTCTTTCTTTATCCTATGCGCTCTTCCCAAATAAGGGAGCCTTAAATAGAGTCACGTGACTCGAGCGGCCACTCATAAATTTGGCTTGATGACCTCCGGGAGGTTAGTGATGGAAGCCGGCGAAACGCATCTTGATATGTTGGCAAAGCCCAACCAAAGGGGAGAGGGAGTGAGCGAAAGAGAGGGAAGGAGGAGAAAAAAAAAAGGAATTGGGGGGTAGCTGGGACAACGAGCCCACAGCGACACCTGGTGCCTATTTGGAGGAATTACAGTCTGACGCGCCGGCTCGCCTTGGAAAGGCTGCTTTTTCTACCCAGTGGAAGAGAAACTGGTTGTTGGCTGTAACAACCCCCTAAGCTAGCCTTTACAATTATTTTTAAATTTGAGAAAAGATGAGGTCCCACTTAAGATATATAGAGGTACTTTTTGTAATGAATAGTTTCGTTTTCCCACCTAGAGGACCTCCTGACCATCAAATATATTTGAGGGAAGATTTAGGTAGGATGGCCCCTGCTCAGTGCTGAAAAGAATCAAGGGTTCCCTAAAGCAGAAGTAGAGGTCCTTTGGCTTGGAGGCTTCAAGGCCCTGCTACTGCTCAGGAAGTGCCTATCTACATGGGAAAGTGGACTCAGGCTCTGGAGAGGTAGACAGGTTGCCCCAAGGAGGGGGTCAGAGGTGGGCAGAACTAAATAGGGAGGCCATGAGGCTTAGAATGTTGGGAATCACTGGATGAGCCTGGCTGCGAGAACTAGGTGGAGTTGTATAGATTTCACCATGCCAGGGACTCTAAAGTGACAAGGCAATTTTCGTGTGTGTGTGTGTGTGTGTGTGTGTGTGTGTAAAGAACCAGATACAACAGGCTAGAGGACTGCTCTGTATCCCTATGTATGGATATTTTAGATTTAAAAAATAGACATTAACTGAGGGCATGAAGAAGCAAGATTCAAGCCTCCACACATATTATGTGTGCAAGACAGAGGAAATGGCTTGTGTTGTGCCCTTTGGGGAAAAGGCCTCTGGACCAGGCTTTCTAGGGACCTGAACCTAGATGGGCCACAAGAGAGCAATTTCTGAGCTATTTGGAAACATGAGGAGGTCCTGTCTAGGGGGCGAGCAGGGCAGGCGACTGGGCAACCTTCCCAGCCTTTGGCCAGGGCCTTTGCAGCCATTCCTGCCCCTTCCCATCCTCATCTAGCCCCAAGTCTCACTGCCTGCTTCTCCCCAGGAAATCTCCGCCCCTGCCAGAAGCCCCCTCCCCGCTGGCGGAGGCACTGGAGGGGGCGCTAGTGGGGATCTGTAGGGTGTGGAAAACTCTGGCAGATTATTTCCCTCCGGGATACCACCCCCTCACGCACACACCTCTCCCCTAGGCCCACTCAGGTTTCTCTGGCTGGGCTTCAGGAGAGAAGACTGGGAGTTAGGAAATGATCAGGGCCGGCTGCTCTCCTCACCCGCCGGGTTTGAATGGAGAAGAGCAAGGAAGCAGACGGGCTGAGGCTGTAAGGAAGAAGGAATTTTGTCCAGGCCAACTCAGGAGTCCCAGAGCAGGCGAGAGCTCAGTTTCTAGGCTTTCTCTTTCGAGATGTCCTTGAATCGCTCAATCCTGCCGAAGGGCTCAAATCCCGCGGTCTTTTCGGCTCTCTGCCTCCGCCACGTTTCGCAACAGCCGGCCTGGCGCAGGCCTGGGGCTTGCTAGCGCAACGCCCCCCTCCCCACTTCGATTCCGGGGAGAGGACAGGGTGGGGGGCGACCCTAGTGCCCGGATCGTTTCTGGCCGTTTGGGGCTCAGGATTCAGAGCCGAAGACCCCAGGCAAAAAGAAAGGCCTGTGTGGTGTTGAAGTCCAACCGACTAACCCTCCTCCGCCCCCAACGAAATCCTGTGCGGCCTTTTTTTGCGGCGTGTGTGTTGCTCGGCGTTGGGAGCCCTGAAAGGCCTCCCAGCCCCCCAGCGCGATCACAAGCAGAACGGGGAGGCCGGGGCTCGGCGCTCAGCTCTAAGACGAGTGCGGAAAGCTGGGAGCTCGCAGGCGGCGGGCAGACGCAGAAGCGCCTGGAGTGCGTTCCAAGTCACCCCGAGGCCGGCGGGCGAGCGAATGAACAGAAATTCAGATATAAACTTTTAAAAATAATATCAGTTTTATTAAATATTCGAGAACGGATCCAGAGGTTGGATTTATACAGGAAGGAAACCCAGGGGGGGGATTTATTTATTTTCTCCTACTGGCTAAACAAACGTCATTCACTTTTTTTCTCTTTTTGTAATTTTCCCTCTTTTTTTTTCCTTTTTAAAATGGGATTGGAACACTGACGGTGCTAAACATAAATATAAATACAGAGACCACAAATACAGCTAAAAATATTCACACAGAAACGGTCACAGTTTGTAATATGCCATGATGACCCCCAGGATTCTTTAAATACAGTTTGCCTGGGCTGGGCATTTGCTGGGGCACAGGGGCCGGGCTGGGGCTGCGGGGAGGCCCTGGGGGTTGCTGTGGGGCCAAGGCGCGCCCTCCATGGGCCTCCCGCCCTCCCGGCTGCCAGGCTGGGCCCTGAGGCCCCAGAGCAGAGGCCCCAGGGCCCTGGAGCCCGCTCTCTGCGCCAGGGCAGGGGTGGGGGCGTAAGTCCTCATCTGGAGGGAAGTCAGTGGAGTCCGTAGCGAGGTTCAGGGACCGAGCCCCCAAGGCCTGGGCGGGGGAAGGGGCCTGCAGACGACTTTTTACGAGCTAGCGAGGAGGAGGAGGAGGAGGAGGCGTGGTGAAAGAGTTGTGCAGAGAGGGAGGGGGTCCAGAGCTGACTTTCAGGTCCACGTTTGACTCCCTAATTTTGTTTTAGGGAGTCAAAACACATCAATTGTGCCAGTGATAAATACAGAGTGTGTGATTAGGGGAGAGTTGGGGGAGCAAGGGAGGAGAGAAGGGTGGAAGGGACAGTCCTGGTCACTCTTTCTGTTTCTCCTCTTCTGTCTCTTCCCGCTTTTCCTCTTTTCCGCCCAGGCTGTCGGCGGCCGTCCCTCCGCCGCCCCCCGAGAGCGTGGACGTGAGATTAGATTCTTTTTTCCACTTCATCCGGCGGTTCTGGAACCAGATTTTGATCTGTCGCTCGGTCAGGCAGAGCGCGTTGGCGATTTCGATGCGCCGGCGCCGCGTTAGGTAGCGGTTGAAGTGAAATTCTTTCTCCAGTTCCAGGGTCTGGTACCGCGAGTAGATCTGGCGGCCGCGCCTCCGGTCCGCTCCGTAGCCGACCCCTAGAGATCCGGGCACAAAACACACTAAAAACAATCAGCAAGGCGTCCTCCGCAGACGGTTTCACCTACCAAGTCCGGACCCTCCCAACTTGGCCAGCAGCTCTGGGCCCCCTAGGGCTCTCGCCTGCTCCCTTTTGCCCTGCCCCACCCCCACTGGGGGTACAGCCAGGACCCCAACTTCATTCAGTTCTCCCATAGGGTGGGAGGTCTGTGTTCCAAAGAAAGGTGTGTGGGGTTGGGGGGGGGGCGGGGCAAAGACCAGGCAGAAAGCTGCAAGTCTAAAAGCTGATTTTTGAAAAATTCCAAATACTGGGAGGGAGGGCCCCATTTCTCAAGGACTGCCCCCCCAACACCTCTCCAAGCACCCTAAGGTCCTTGGAAACTTCTCCCCACTTCTCTCTCCTTCCCTGTCCTTCTTCCTTCTCCTCATCCTGGGTGGACTTTGGGGGGCTCCCTCATCCTCCTACCCCCTCCCCTCATCCCCTGCCCTGTTCCTGCCCCCTTAGCTCGCCTAGAAGCCCTCCAATCCGTCAGGGGCCGAGGGGGCCAGACCCCTGTGAGCGAGGAGGCGAGCAGAGGGGGCAGAAGAGGGGGCCCTGTCTCGGCGTCGGCGAGGAGACGAGCGTGATTGTTTTTATGGGGCCATAAAAAACTCTCTCCGCCCGTTCTTCTAGGGAAGCCGGTCATAAAGCCAGTTCAGTTTATTTAATTTATATCTTGGAGCTGTAAAACTCACCACTGTGCGAATTCATTCGCTGCATCCAGGGGTAAATCTGGATACTGGCTTTCTGGTCCTGGGGCGCAGTCCTGCCCTGCTCAGAACTAAAATCCTGAGCGATTGAGGTCTGTGTGTTATGTCCTAAGGTGTTTTGTCTGCAGTTTGAGAGCATGTCTTTCTCCTGGTAAAAGGAATTAGATCCATAGTCATACGGCCCCCGGCTGGAACTGAACACGACATTCTCCTGTGGCGAATAAAAGGGAGTCGAGTAGATCCGGTTCTGGGCAACGGCCGCTCCATAGGTCGAGAAATGCCTCACTGGATCATAGGCGGTGGAATTGAGGGCGACGTTGGGGAGGACGTCCTGGCCCCCGGCGAGGTGGCAGGATAAGGAAGGGTTAGTGAAGTAGGAATTCATCCCTTTGCCTTTACCTGGTCGGGCTATGATTTCTTTAATATTTATTTCTGTCTCCAGTTTGTACTCGGAACTAGATGGTTATAGGGACGGCTCCAATCCAGGACAGACAAAATGACAAAGTCAGCTGACCCCTTTCCAGCCAATCGCAAGCCAGATGTCAAGAAGGGGGAAAAAAATCGCTTCTGCTTCTGTTGATTCCCTAGTTGAGACTAAGTGTGTGCTTTGAAAGTAAGACTTGGATTTCTTTTAAATATATATCCGTAAGGGAACTGGTTTGGGGGTGTAGGAGAGGTGCATTCCATAAGGAGGGCCTTGGGGCCCAGGGAAGAACGTTGTACTCCCAGGAAATCTCTCAGACCCAGCTAACTTTGCTGTACTATGGTGAGAGCCAGGGTCAGAGAAATCCCTGTATTTTCAATCTGATTTCAACTTTTATGTCTGTCCCCTCCTAAAATTATAACCTGATTTCTCCATGAGAAGCTCCCTCCAGCTCAGGGGGATTCCCAGAAATCTAACAGAAAATCCTGGTTTGACACTCCATGAAATGAGTCTTCATCACTAAACCAGTATTTCCCCCTCAATAATTAAAAAAAAAATCAAAAATGGAAAGAAATTTCATAAAACACGGTGCCAGGGAAAGAAGAGTATGCTGAGAACTTGGGTATAAGGGAGATGTGGGAAGCAACCAGTTGTAAAGGTAAAGAGTAAGATTTCAGGGTATAGTGGCAAAGCTGAAGTGGGCAAAGGGGCCATGCATCCCCTTCCCTCTGCCTCCTAGCCCCCTCTGCCTCCTCCTTGGGACCCCCTGTTTGGGGATACTCCTGCAGCAGTTTGCCTAAAAGAGGAAATGTATATATAAAATTACAATGGAAAAAGGAGAGAAGAAAAGATTAGAAAAGAGAAAGAAAGAAAAAAGGTGAGAGAGAGAGAGAGAAAGGGAGAAGAAAGAAAACTCTGAGAGTCTTTCTAGAGACATCAACTCCTGTTTATGTTGGTGAGAATTTATGATTTGGAGCCAGCGAGGGCCGATGGGGTAATTCACATAGGACCCAGCTAGAAACAGCAGGCTGGTGTGGCTCTGATGGACAGTTAGCTTCTTGCAGGCTCAAGCCCTGCACAGGTCAGAAGCCCCCTGCCCCCTCCGTAGTCACTGCTCTGCCAGGGCAGATGCCCCTGGACCTGAGCTCTGGGGCTTGGAGACTTAGGCAAAGGGCTCCTGGGGAGCTCTTGCCCAAGTGCCCGTCACCCTTGGTGGGACTACCCTCTCGGCAGCCCCTCGCCCTAATTTTTCCCCCCACCTTGGGGCTGAGAAAAAGGAAGAGACGCTTAGGAAAAGGCAGCGGAGTCCGAGGCTTCTGTGGGAACCGCAGTGGGCAAACTGAAACAGCGGAAGGTGTGCAGATGGGGTTTTTCCCTTGATTAATCCAAAACTTAATTTGATATCGTGACATAGGCTACAAAATTCTTTGGATGACAAAGAGGGGGCAGTGGGGCATGTGCAGGGAGCAGTGAAAGCTCATATTTTCCCCTCACCATTTTTTGGAGGGGGGAACTGGCTATAACAAGAACCCGGATGTCGCCGGATTTTATGATCTTTTCCTTCTGTGTAACAAAGCGGAGTAATCAATGGGTAGCAATAAAGCCATAAACGGGACTACACTGGGAAAAAACTCGTTTATTCATCTTCTGTAACATTAAGGTTTCCCTGGAGTGTCGCTAGGGGGGAAAAATAAAGTTTCGAACCCAAAAGCAGACAGAGTGTAGGAGCTGGTGGAGACAACATGTTAGTTAATGCATGAGCCTCGTTAGGGGGTTGAAGAGTCTTCCTGCCAGACAAGTTGTGTTGCCTTTTAAAAGGACAGCCCCAATCCTTCAGAAAGGAGGGATATTTGTTGGTCTTTAAAAGGGTAGGGAAAATACCATCAAAACTTATAAAGGTTCTTCTTCGTGGACCACATGTTCTCCTCAAAAAGAAGAAGGTTAAAGGGTACATGAGGGAATTTAAGAAAGAAATTTTGAGATGAGTTATCTTATTTGGGGGTGACATGGCAGGTACGCAAGCAGACACCAGCATGAGTTGGTTTTTGCTCTAGTATTCAGCTGTCCTCAAATTCATGGCATGTCTGGGCAGAGGTTTCCAACAGCTGGCTGGGGCTCCAGGCCCCCTGGAGGGCAAGAGCAGGGGAGGGGGGAAGAGATTAAGGGGAGGAGGAGTACCCTGAGGTCTGGACTAGGGAACAAGTCAGAGCACCCCTGGACACAAGTAGCCTCTCTGAGTTCCCAGCCTCCCTTCTGCCCTGAGGGTAGTGGTGTAACAAGTAGAGGAGGTAAGAAGAGGAACCGCCTCCCTCCCCCCTTTTCAGAGAGAGATTGCTAGAGGGATAAATCATGTCAGTGATATTTCCTTCAAGATATTAAATTGTTGCAGTGTACAACAAATTGAATGATGGAAGATAGGATGTCTTAATGAGGTTTTGCTTTCAATGAGTGTTGATTTTCTATGTATTTTAAAATCTCTTTTATGGGTAGGTAGAGGAGGGAGTGCCTTGGAAGAAATACGGGGCTTCTGGGGAGGCATGTGTTACAGCCCACCCCCAGGAAGGGTGCCTGGGTTTCCTTGAGCCCCTCCTCAACCAAGTCTGGAGAAGAAAGGACCTCCAAAGTTGGGGAGACTCTCTTTTGGGGCCTAAAGGCTGTAAACTGGGGAGGGGGGAAGTGGGCGACCTGCGGAGTAGAGTGTAAGTCTCAGGCCCGGAAAGTTAAGTGTTTTATTACATCCCTAAACAGAGGGCAGAGACTGAAAGGTCTCGCCGATTTATAATGAACAGAAACCAGCTGCTGGAGAAAAAGGCAGAAATGCTAGAAGGGGGAGAGAAAGGGAAGCAGAAATACAAATAAATTCCCCCACTGCTTACAGACTTTCGGCAAAATTAATTTCCAGTTCACTCTCTCCCATCACTTTCCTTCGCTCTTGAGGAAAGAAGCCTCCTTCTTTCAGTTAGATCTTTAATTATGCAGCTGAAATCTGCTGGAAGGATTCGCTCTAAGGGGGGAGAGCAAAGCAGGTCAGATGAGCCCGATCTTCCTTCACTGGATTATATTTTTCTTTTTCCATTCGTGTTAATTTCATTTTTTTGGCACAAGAAAGACTGTCTATGGAGGGAAGCTGGGACTTGGATTTTTCTAAATATATTTATATTTTCCTGTTAAATTTGTCTGAAAACAATTATGGAAACTCATCAACAGAAGCAAGAACAGATGTTTTATTAAAACTGCAGTTGAGCTCTGTAAATATGCACAAGTCTTGGGAAGGAGGGGAGAGAACTTGTTCTTTGTTTCTATAAAATAAGCCTAGGAAAATTCAGAGAACATCCCTCCATCAGGTCTGCAAGTCTCCACGCTGCTCTGGCCTCTCGGCCTCCCCGAGAAATCAGAGAATCAGGCATTCAGAGGGGGCTTTATGTCCAGAGAAATTTTCCCTTTTGGAACTGTAATTAGTGGGTTCAAAAAGAGAATTTTTAACATACAGAAAAGGTATAAAGGAGAAAAGTTGTCACTCATTGCTCCAACATGCCCCCCCCACACACCACCAAAACACATGCTTTCCATGAGCGCTAATTATAGGAGAGGAATTGACTGCCTTGGGCCTGAGTGGGGTGCAGTCATTGGCCTGGAGTCCCCAAGGTAAAGGGTTGCACTGGAGGCTGGGCACTTGGGGTTTCCCAGGGCTAGTGGAGCATTCCCACTCCAGTCTTCCCTAGCTACAGGCCAGGGATAGGCAGGGGGGCCTGTGTGGCTCTGAACTGGAAACAGCGTGAGTGGCACTAGACCCTGGCCCTGAAGACATTCCTAGGCAGGCCTCATTTGGTCCGCCTTCACTTTCCACTTGCTCTGAGATGTATATTAATTTCTTGGGGAGGGGTATTTGAGATGAGCTGGATGAGAGCTGGGATTTTTATTGGGGGACGATCTTTCTAGTGGTCCTCTTTAGTTTGCATTCAGCCAGTCTCCTCTCTCTCCCCAGATCCCCCAACTCTGCGCAGATGAGTGTGACTCCTGCACCCTCACACACAGATAGATACACACACTTCATTCCTGCCTCATTCATGCCGCACGGCCAGCCTCAGCTCGGGGTCTCCCGGAGGCTGCTCAGGGACCCGAACCCGAGCCAAGAGACCGGGAACCAGAGCTCAGCCTGGGAGCTTGGCTGCCTAGAAGCTACTACAGCTGCCCAACCCTGCTCCCCAGTGCACCCCACTTCCAATTCTCCCTTTCCAAAGCAGGAGAAGAGTGGCCCTGCTGGCCCCCTTTGTGCCACTGGGCGAGGGCTAAAATCCCTCTTGCAGAGAAAGCCGAGTTTCAATAATTACTCAGCTTACCTCACGATCCGCACTATTTGGTTAAAGCTTTGCTGTTCTAGAGCAAGTGCTCAGTTGACCCAGCTGGCTTGTGATTAATTTTTTTATTTAAAAATTAAAAAAATAAATCCTACTCTAAATGCCTGCTGTTTTGTATACAAGATCTTTTGATCTCCGTGGACCTCAGAGTAAAAGGATTGCACGGAGAGCCTCTAGGTCTGCCAGGGGACCTGAAAGCAGAGAACTAGGTCAGCTTGGGGACACCAAAGCAAGAGGCACCCCTTGGGCTCCCAGTTCCTTATAGATATGGGGGGAGGAGCACATATGCACTCTTCCATACATGCTACAATCCAAAAAGGACACTTTTTCCTTTCACAGTTCAGGAGAAAAGTGAAAATTGACACACCCAAACTAGAAAAGATCCCATTTAGGGGTGCTGATCATCTGGGGTCAAGGCTGAGGCTGGACAACTGAAGAGGGTTGGGGGCAGCAGGGAGGGGGCAAGGAAGAAGCAGTAAGATGGGGCAGGTCAAGCTTCTGAGAAACACCCCAGATACTAAGGAGAGGCCTGCGTTGGTGACTTGTCTTTTGAGTTAAGAGCTTCAGAAGTTACTGAGCTGTTTTCACTTTATTGCAATTAAACAAGAAAGAAAAGTATATGGGGGAGCTCGGCTAACTCATGTCCTACTTCCTCTCCTCTCTCTTCCCAGATTTTTGTCTGACCTTTTCTTTCTCTACTTACTACTGCCATCATCAGCAGATAGATGCAGCCCCTCACATGGCATTTGTTTGGCTTGTCAATTCACTTCTTTGGTTTAAGGTTCAAAAGCAAAATAGGTCCCAAGCATCTCTGTTCAGCCCCGAGTCCCCTTCAGGCTCATCTGGAAAAAAATCATTTCTGATTTTTGGGGACCTGGCCCCCAAGCTTCCCACTTCTATTCCAAGCAGCTGAATATCAGCTGAGGAGGGGGCTTGTAGAAAACCCTGCACACGAAGTCTTACCCCCACTAGAAATGGAAAGGAAGCTCAGAGGCCTAGGGACATTCCAGGGGGCAAAACAAGTGGCCTTGGTTGGCCCAGAAGGAAAAAATAAAATCTAGAATAGTCAATATTTTTAGCTTCCAAAATAAGGCCTTAAGAAGGTATCACCGGAAGAAGGGGCAATAAGGGTTGTGCTGCTCCAGACTGCGCCAAAGGATCCCCAACTCCTAGGCATCTTTTAGATCCCTCCCTCAACATCAAACATTGCCTGACCCATTTTGGAGGTTTATGGGAATTGTAAAATTTAAGGACCCGGCATTTATGACGTCACCGTGAATTGTCAAACGCAAACTGTAAATGTCATAAAGGTTATGTACAGCAGAAGTTTCTGTGTAGGTGCCTGGCCTCCCCTCACTTGTTTTCCTTCTCCCCTTCTTTCTCCCCTTCTTCCACTTGAAAATTAAATGTTATTATGTTCTAGAACAATAAGCCAACAATGAAACATCATCCTCATTTCCCTATAAATAATTTTATCCTTTATTGTTTGCAGAT